TCGTTATGATAATTTAAAAATTAATTATTTAAAATATTTAAATAATCTAAATTGTTTTGCAATTTTAAATATTTTTAACTAAATTGCAATAAATAAGTTATTTTACAAAATTTATTCAGTTAGTATATATATTAATTTATTAATAAGAATTTAAGTTAAAATAACCAGTAGTAATGATTACCACACTACGTAATTTATAGTTACACATCATTTATATACGATCAGATCAGATCAATCGATCGATCAATCACAGAATTTTTTCTTTATTTTAGTATTGCATTACTAATACTATTTCTATTTACATACTTTTCTTCTACAGCTTTTTTTTCTTCACTGTATGCTCTTGTTTTTACCAGCGTATCATATTAAAATCATTTTTTCGCGTTATTTATACTGATTAACTGTAATCACGTTCGTCTTTTACTGCCATGTTCTTTTTTGTCTTTCACATAGCTTTTTTTTCTTCACTGTGCTTACTTCGTTTTTAGCAGCGCATCGTGTTAAAGTTATTTTTTCACATGAACAATACCGTTTTACTTTGATCACATTTACCTTTTACTGTCGTATTTTTTTTCATTATTGTGTTTGCTTATATCCTTAATTATACATCGTTTTTCTTTTCTGTTTGCTTGCCTTGCTTTCTTGCTTGCTTGTTGTTTGCTTTCGTTGCTTGCTTGTGCTTCTTTGTTTACTTGCTTATTATTGTTTGCTTTCACTTCCTTCTTGCTTATTTATTGTGCTTTATTGCTTGCTTATTTGTGCTTCCTTTATTGCTTCCTTGTCATACTTTTTTCGTTGCCGTTATTCTTTCATTTCTAGCCCGGCTATAAAAAATTATGGAAGGTAGGTAGTATTGTTATCGTTCAAAGAATGCTGTGTAAAAAGTTAGATTTACTATTTCTAATTTTTTTTTTAAAACATTTAGATACAAGTCCTCCTGAATCTACAAACGGTTCTTCGGTTGATATTGAAACTACAAATAGCTTAAGCTTGAAATTAATACCTTCTCATATGGAATTATTTTTAATTGAGCCAAACAATGAACATGATCTTCAACCTTCAGAAATTGAGCCAAACGATGAACAAGATCTTCAACCTTCAGAAATTGAGCCAAACGATGAACAGAATCTTTAATCTTCAGAAATTGAGCCAAACAATGAACAGAATCAACTTTCAGTAAGCGATTCCTATATGTCATGGGATGAAGCTGAAGCACGCCTCAATCATTATGCTAAAGCCACAGGTTTTTCATTACGTTGAAAGAGAGTAGCAGTTGATGAAAATGGTGAAGTTAGACGACGTACCTTTGAATATACACATGCTGGTAAAGCTATTAGCAACAAGGTTATTGACCTTTCTCAACAACACAATCGAAACTCAAGTAAAATTTCATGTTCTTGGCACGTAAATCTATCAAAACCAAAGTCTTCTAAGGTTGTTGCTATTACAAGTATAGAGGGAAGCATGATCATCAAATGCAACTGAACGTATCTTTATATACTCCAAGATATAGAAAGTTGTCTTCAGAAATTCTAGACTCGATAGAATTTTATGTTACAAAAGGGAATATAGGATCTAAACAAATCTTATCACTTTTGATAGCAAAATTTCCTGATCATATTATTCATAAAACTGATCTTTATAATGCAGTTAAAAAGTTTTGAAAAGCATCTAGTCAATATCATGGAGAAGCGCAGGTAATAATTTTAACAAAATTTTAACAATGAGTATTTTCATGATTTCAATAATAAGTATATGCTCATTTCTTAAACCTACTTCCCCCAGCATTTTATAGATTATTTGTTGCAGTTAAAAAGCCAAGATTCGGGTTAGATTGTCAATATTAGAATAGATCCATATGATAACAGGCTGGCAGGAATCTTTTGGATATCTCCAATGCAGCAACAATATCTGATTCGTTATATTGATATTGTTCAGACCGACAATACATGTAAAACAAATTGGTTTAATATATACCTCACACTTTTAATAGTAATTGACAATAATACAAAGATCTGGCTAGTATGTCAAGCGTTGTCTGATGATGAAACCACTGAAGCATATGAATGGTTTCTTGAATGTATCAAAAATACAGCACATAATACATCCCTGGCAGTTTTATTTTCGGATGCTGAACCCACACTAAGTAGTGCTATTTCTTCAAAACTACCTACCACACATCACTTCCTATATATTTTTCACATTCAGGAAAACATTCGCAAAAATTTACGAAGCAAACTTGGGAAACAATTTGATGATTTTTACAAAAAATTTTTACATGCATGAAATAGTATGTTTGAAGAAGATTTTCATAGGCGGTAGTTACGTTTATTAAACAAATATCCTCAAACAAATGATTATTTTAATCGAGCGTTACAAGGATGTGTTAAATTGTGAGCCCAATATTATCAGTTAAAGCATTTTACTGCAGGAGTTCAGAGTATTCAACATGTTGAGATAATGAACAGACTGATTAAGGAAGATGTAAAAAGTACTACTTCATTGTGCGACCTTCATGAATATATACAAAATCTATTAGATAATAAGGCTAGGTAGTCACGACATAATAACTATTTAAATTCTCTTCCTATCAATCAAGTGCCAACAGTTGCTGAGTCAATATTTCCAAAGATTTTGGAAATATTGAAAATATATTTAACACCCCATATATTAGCTGTTCAACAATGGCAAATTATTGGGTCTCTTATGTATCAGGCGCAACTACGATCAAAGAATAACATTCAGGAACTACAGGTTAAATTAAATAATCAGTTCATTATTTATTGTGCGTTTTTGATTGATTGTATTTTTAACTTTGAGTTTGGCTTTCTTTTTTTTTTTAAGAAAATATTTTGTTGGATTACAATGAGGGTTTTCTGGAGGATCAAATCGATAGATCTCAAATTTCTATTATGTCTCTTATAAAGGATATTGACATAAATAATGTTGTGGAAATCTGGGAACTTATGAATTTATTAGCAGTTTACAAGCACTATGTAATCTTGTTAAGTGATGGTGGACATCTATGCACTTGCATGTCTATTATTAACCGTGGCATTATATGCGTATACTTTTTTCAAGTAATGATAAACACCAAAATAGCAAAGTTTTATATTGGATTGGTTTCAAGACATTGGTATCAAGACGATTACCAAGACAAAGAATTGAAGGTTTTACAGCAGCAATGTATTGAAATTTCAACTATATTTCAGCAAAATACTTCAGATATAATTGTTCCAGATCTTCATATCATAGAACAAATTAATCTTGCACTGGATCTTGGGTGTGTGGAAGAATTAATGAATATGGTTACTCAGTTTATTGATCAAAAAAAATCTATACACGAAAATCTCAACAATGAAAGTTCTCAATATGAACAGAAAGTCATAGTAGATCCTTTAGTTACAAAGCGTCGTGGATATCCACCAACTAAATGATTAAAAGGATCTTCTGAAAATCTAAACTACAGAAGACTGGCATGTAATCATGTGATTGATCCTCAAGATTCTAATCTTAGAATACCTTTCTCAAATATTAATCTAGATAGTAATAATGTTTCAGACAACAATACTGAAGAATTATGCCAAGAAAATAAAAGAAGATATGTATACAATGTATGTGGTGGGATGGATCATAATGCATGCACATATAAACAGCAAGATAAGGTCATAGTACATTCTCCATAATGAAATATATAGTAAGAATAATGTTATGTATAGTACACGTCAATGTTAATAGCAAGTAGAATTCATAATATATTT